GCGTCGCAAGTGATTTCTAGACCAGCCGCCGGTGGACCGCAGCAAAAGTTCGGCACCGACGCCGACGCCGGCGTTGACGCCCGAAACGTGGATCCCGTGACAAATCTCCTCCGAAGATCTGACTCGGAGCAGCTGCCGAGACTTCACGACTTCACTCACAGCGCCCAACAAATCACAGTTGGCGTTTTTTCATACTTGAGATTCCGATTGAAGGTAATTGTGTTCGCTCGTCCCGTAGGATACCAAATCAAAGTAAGACAGACGTCTATCACCCAAAATGAGAGAAGAAGACTTGCAAGGTCAGCCCAACATCCCCAACAACACGTGGTTCATAGACTTATACCCGAAACAGGATCCGGGGGCGCGATCGCCAGTGCGCCAGGAGGAGCAACACCTCCAAAGGCAGACAAACCCAAACATATCGCCATCCTAGACACCGACGTAATGGTCACAGCCGTCCAAACCCTCTACGGACAATACTACAGCGCCCAATACATCAAACGCCTCACCGCCGCCGCAACCCGCATCGGAGCCTCCCACCTCGCCACCTTCACGACCTGGGACGTCGTCGCAGGCCACTACCCGAGCCCAGCCGACGTCGACGCTATCCTCATCACGGGCTCCATCGCCGCCGCCTACGACACGGACTCCTGGGTCCTCCGCCTCGGCGACTTCATCCGGCGCGTCTACGAGCACCACCCCAACGTCCGCATCTTTGGCACCTGCTTCGGCCACCAGCTCATCGGCAAAGTCCTCCTCGAGCCCCACGGCGCCGTCGTGGAAAAGGACCCCAACGGCTACGAGTTTGGCGTCCAGACTATCTCGTTGAACCCGAAACTCGTGGAGGACTTTCCCTGCCTGGCCGCCCTCGCCTCGTCGACAACGATAACAGACGCAAACCAGGACTCAGACTCTCCTTCTTCATCAGCACCCCCTAACGGTCTCCGCCTACAAATGTGCCACGGTGACCACGTCGCCCTCGCCCCGCCACCTAAGCCGCCTCTGCCAGGAACCTGGCAAAACATTGGCGGCAGCGCGCACTGCATGGTCCAGGGCCTATACGAGCCCTCTCGCGTCCTCACGATCCAACCCCATTTCGAGTGCGACCAGGTCATCATGGAAGAGACCATTAAGCACTTTTACACGCCCGAGAAGGGTTTCTCGCCAGAGTTCCTACAGCGGGCGTTCGATGCGACCAGGAGGGAGGACGACGCGGGTGTTGCTGCGGAGTGGGTGTTCCGATTCTTGGTTGGTATCTGATGACGCGGGCTGGGGGGGGGGGGGGGCTTCCTCACATGTGCGGCCGACTCTTAAGATGGCTGGAAAAGTAGTAACATTCTCCAACAGCATTTCCTGGATCATCGCCTCTTTGGCCTTTATGGTGTCTGGGATGTCGAAGGTAAATTCTGTAGTGTGAACCCTCTTACCTTTTGTGGGCGTTTGTTGTCATCGTGTATCCCTCAAGTCGTCTTGGCCGGCATCCGCCTTGAAGCCAACAAGGGAGAGCTCTGCAAAATAAAGGTCCGCTGCCTAACCGAGTTCTTCTCTGCGATCGCCTTGGGAAGGCTGGACGATATTGTCTTCGGGCTCTATTGCTTTTTATAGCTGAGGTGCCCAGTGTCCTGTGTATGTTCGGAAACTCGTCCGCATCTGAGTTTAATGCTCCCATCCGTGAGGTCGTTAGATTTAAGGTTCCACGAGAAGGCCTGATAGGCCGAAAAAGTGGATTACTGCCCAATAACAAACTTCTCTGGGTATCTTTCTCATTTCCCTTACATCTACGCACTTTCTGTATCAAGGAAATTTGGCAAAATAATTCAAAGGCTTCGAGTAAATTGCCAGGATCTACGAAAGAGAAAAGTTAAGTACAAGCGAAACGATGTTTGCTACGTCCAGTCTGAAAACTTTCACTCTGACCCTTGCCCCATTGCTCCTTTTCTTCCTCTAGGTCGAGAGCCGCCATACGAGCAGAGGTGTGTGCCCTGAAGATGAGCAAATCTTGAGGCTAGAAGAAGTAGACGCATCGCACAAGATTTGCAAGTACTCTCAAGAAACGAACACAGGCCGTCGGTCCTTATCAGGGCTGCGCAGGACGCCACCGATCACGCCCAGAAATTACACTTGATGCATCCAATCTTGTCGTTCCAGCCAAGGCTAGTGAGGTCTCGAAGTCCGGGATAAGTGATGTCGAGAGCGGGTGTCCCATTTTCGTTCCAGCAGCCATTGGCGTCGAAGTGGCTACCGCAAAGAGATTGTTAGTCTTGGAAACCCCGAAGTGAATGGAAAGGTGACGGGAAAGGGCCTTGAGCTAAATTCAAAAAGGAAAAACAACAAGAATGGACATGACATACTCCCAAGCCCAGCAATTCGCTCCCCAGTCACTTCCAATGCTGGAGATACGATTGTTCAAGGACAGGCCCTCGATATTGAACCACTGGCCGTTGGGAACAGAGTAAGCAGAGCAAGGCTGCTGGAAGCCGATATTGTCACACGCCCAGATGTTTCCCGGATTCTGGCGCTTCATCTTGGCTGTATCGCTGCGCACATCCCTGACAGCCTTCTCGGTGGCAACAATGCCCCAAAGAGTAGCGAGGTCGACAGGGCGAGGGGAGACATTGGCAGCGGGCTCGATAGGTTGAGCAAGCACGGCTGGTGCGGCGGCGACGGCGGCTAGGATGAGGGCGACGTTGGACAACATGATGTCTTATTTAAGTAAAAGATCTCGAACTTGAGGTATGGCAAGATTTAGTAAAGAGGCAGATTAGGAGGATCTGATATGAAGATGAGGGTTACTCGTTCTATTTCGTCGGGCGACCAAGACTGTATTTATATACAAGAATGTTCATGAGAGATCGACCTCTGAGACCCTTGTATTTCAAATGGCTCCATCACGAGCTCCCACAACATCTATCATCTGGTGCTTACATGCAGAAAGCCGCCTCTATCGTTTATGGCCACTAAGCTGGAATCGTGATGCTGCTCCGTGGTTGATGAGCGCCGAACAGTCTGGCTAGATAGCTGAAGACTTGTGCTGCAAGCCAGGGTTCGTATGACGCTCATCTCCCAGGGGAACCATGGAAGTGTTGAGTCTGGTTCGGTCCAGTGGGCGGGAAAGGAAACCTCGTACGCCAAGCCAGTTACCATTCACTTTGCTTACTGAAGGATCTTCAAAGTCCGGAGAGTTTACCACAGGAGTCATAGACTCCGATGCTGCAAACTAATGAACCTGTGTACGGTTGAAAGTTCTACAGACATTTCTCCTGTATATGGGCTCTTCAGCCCTATCACCTGTATAAGAAAATTGGAAAAGAAAAGTAAAGCTAGTGGCACGGTGAACCTCAGCGTGGAGCCCAGGATTGGACATCGCTTTTCATTGTACTTTAGGCATATAAGCACGCAGAAAAGTTCATTCCTCATGGGATCCTCTCTAGATGATAGTAGCTTGGTGCAGACATGGGCTGCTCATTTCCATCTCTCTTGCCACTTTTTTTTTTGTAAAGATTTCGCTCAATACTCATACCAAGCAGCTTAGTGACAAGACTCACTGCATATGACATGGACAGATAAAGCTTCATGGACATATCGCAATGCTTCAGACCAGGAAGCCCAATCTTCTCCATCAATCTAGGACGAAAGTGGAAGCAGGTTCTGTTGGTAAATGCAGATTGAGCGCTGGGTATGAATAAGCTCAGTGTCATTGTGGCACCTGGGAATGACCCGTTTCACAAGGGACCATTAGAGTTCGACTTAGGCGTTTTTAGGAGATGATATCGTGGGGTGATTGGCTAAGGCAACGAGATTTCCTATTTTGGACAAACCAGGTTTTTAGCGGCTCAGCATAGGATTAGGCATCCAGCAATATGCTGTGGATTCGGTGCATTATTGCACCACTTGGACAAATTCGATTGAGTAGATATGCCGGTCATATCTGGTCGTTGTTCTTTTTTTAGTTTTCTGAATTAAGTGGGTTAAAATAAGGCTTGATATGTTAGTGTTACGACCCAACATGCATGACCAAGACCAGGGCCTGCCCCGCCGGTGTTATGGCCAGTAAGTCGTATCGACGTATGTCAGCAGATGTTGAGGCTTCAAGACTCGTCAAACGGCTTTGGAGTCGTCAGATACCTTTAGAGAAGTTAACTTCGATAGTCGAAGGTCTTAGGGGCGAGGTTTCAGCGATTGACTATAGATTTATTAGAGGGGCTCCCAAGTGAAGATAGCTGAAAGTGATCGTGAGACCGGATACGAGGTTGGTTGGTGAAGAAGCTGTAGAAATCTATTTTTGAGCACGGTCTAAGTTCATTATGTATACAAGTTTCGATTTTGAACATGTCTTTTATTGTCCGAATACAATGTTTCCTGGCTATTGCTGGGTGAATCCTGGTTAGCGCTTACTTATGGTGTCCACCTTGTCGTGTGCTAACTTTTCATCTGGACGTGATTTGTCTTTAGTTCTTCTGAACCAAGGAGTGCTCCCTGAGCTCCTGAGTATGATGTATGTATGGTGCGTCGTAGCCGCTGGGAACCTGCGGGGTAAGTACTGTTCGTGGTCATGCATATTAGGTCGCAATAGATGACAGGCCAATATAGAGAAGAATCAAGAGGCCCTATGTGCCGGCAGGAACGTAGATTGTAGTCATGCCAAAGCAGTGTTCATATTTGATACCTGGAACTTCTAAGAGTGTTAATGGCTCAATCAGCATTCCTAGAGTCTTGTCCGCTTCTGCTTTGAAGTTGCATTGCAACCTTACGCGGCGGCGTTATCAGCACAGCATACCGCGACTCATCGACGAGTCTCGGCATTATAGCAGCCGTGGGGCATTCAACGACCTGCAAGCAATTACTCTAGTCCGCCATTGGCCTTTGTACTACGTGATGGACACCGCGGGTACGGCTGGCTCCGGGTTGCATTCATCCAAGGCATGCAGGTCCAGCCTTTCCATCATCGGAGGCGAGTTGGCACAAGTCCAGTTCTACAGTTGATATGCCAGATGACTAAATCACCACGTTAATGTCTCCTCGTGATACACCCACTCCCCGTCCTCAAGGACTTGAGACCCGACAACTGCCTGATTCGGCTGGTCACCCTGCCGGCCACCGAAAAGGATGTATCGGCCACGAAGTCTTGTCCACACCGTCTCGGAGTCGTCGAACTGGGCCATATATGCATCCTCTGTTCTCCTGGCCCATTCAATCAGGACCAGGGCTGCACGGCTATCCCAGAGTCCTTCCACCCGGTGATTTAGCCGATGAACAGCCTTCTCTGCGGCCAGCCGTACCTCGGCATTCCGACATTTGTTCGCTACTACTGTTCCCAGCGTTTAGCAGAGAGGTCCCGAGAAGATCTTGCATTAAGACATACCAAAAAGAGGAAGAAGGGAACCAGAAATAGTCAAAGGTATGACCGGCTTGACTCGGTGTGGCCGATCTGTCAGGAGATTAGCCAAGTTCACGATGGCTCTGAATCTTGACTCCATCTCCACTAGACTCGGGTAGTGATGATAGTGCGAGGTGTAGACGAAGATGTAGGCGTTGTGCCACTGCATCTCCGTCGCTATAACCTGCTCTCTCGTTCGGGGGTTGTTGCCGCCGGCCTGCACTTCCCGCGCTGCCTGGGGCCGGAATGCAACGGCCCAATTTTCCAGAATCTCCAGAAAGCGCTCCCTTGCTGTTTTCCACCTGTCCTCCAAGGTTGACGGCTGTTTCGAGGCAATGACGGGGGCGAAGAGGGCGTTCTGGATTAGGTCCAGCCATCTGACCGCTTCTTTTACGCTAGAGAAGGATTGGGGTAAGATTGTCTTGAGAGTTGTAGATGTGTCAACTCCTGTGTCGAGCTGTGGTTCGGACGGCTGACACGGCCTTCTGGGCGCGAGATGTACGTATGAGACGGAATTGCATCTTTGGAAGATGTGAACCATTGAACCATCAATGAGATAGGGCGCAGGAGAGTTGGCGCAAATATCGAGGTCCGTTCCGGGGCATCTAGCCCTCAGAAAGTTTCGGAGGATTCGAGTTCCATAGTGAATGTGAACGTGTGCTGCCTTGTGGTTTCCGTCCAGTAGGTCGAAGCAGAAGAAGACGATGCAGCACTGGAGAATGGTGCTGATTGTATCCTCGTCGGCGGCTACGGCAACCAAGGTACGCATTGCGTTGCCGTATCTCGATAACGCTGTACGATAATGCACGCTTGATCTTGACTGTTCCATCGGAAGCAGATCAGTCTGTTGAATCAGCGCAATCTTGAGCGCCCCGAGCGCCAGGACGGCCTCCAACAAGAGGCAGTTTTCAGTTGCCACTTGCGTGACCATGACGGAAAATACGTCGAAGAGTTCATCTCCACAGAGCTCAGTCTTGGCCGAGATCCAGGTCTCGAAATAGACCTTCTCCCATTCAGAGCGGAATATTGCTGAGCCTGGTGAGGATCGAATCGAAGGGATCTTGACGGTTGGGATGAGGGTTCGACAAGAGCCAACTTGCGTTTTGGTCGCCTGGAATCCGCTACATGTGATTTTCCGCTTGATGCAACGGAGACAAGATGGTCTGGTTTCGTCACATTTCACGCGCCTCTGCCTAGGAAACGCCGGCCAAGACAGTCAACTCTTGTGCATAGACAGTAAAGAGCGGATCCAAGCACTTCTTACTTGCCTGGCAGTCTATGATTAGCATCTGCAGCGTTGTTGCTCCATGACGGTCGATGCGCGGGTAGGCTCACATATAGTACAACCGGTACGGACCTTAGAGTGTGGATTCCGTGTAGATTGCGGCCGTGGTGGTTGAGAGGGTAGAGCGGAGAATGTATGAATTCGAAAATTCTCCATCTCTCAGGAGCACAGGGTTAGTTGAGGCAAAGAGACAGAAATCGCAGCCACATTTAGCGACAGAAGGATGAGGAAGAAGTAAGTTACAGGTAGCCAGGGGGTCGGCACTCATAAACACAGTCAGCCGAAAGACAGGCCTAGACCGTTAATTTGGGCTGAGAGTCTGTAGGGTCACATCGGGTGGACCCAAGCCGCTCTCGGTGCTAGTGGCGTCCAGACGCAACAAAAAGGTTCCCACGCTAACTTTAAGCTGATATTATATATAGATCATATATTACGATCCAGTCTACATCACTAAGACCAGCCGCCGACGGAATAATCCGCCGGGGCCGTATCATATATTTAAGAACACTAAGTAAACTACGCTTTATGCATAATTGCTACCTAAACTGACTTAAGAATATAAGACGTGAGTATTGATTTAATATTCTATCTTTTTTCTGGTTTGAAATTAAACTAACCTTCTATAACAAGACATATCCTTAGAAATATATTAGCTTTGTAGGTTATAGAATTGGAATCAATATAAGTGCATATAGTCTTAATATCAACAATAGCTCATCTATTTATTATCTTTATATAAGGTGGTATTAGCGAAAACCCCGGTCTTAAACCCTAGGGGCTCTCCGCCTTCATCACCTCCTTTGCTATTGCCTATGTCGTTCAATGGAAGCTCCGCGGAGTCAACATTCGAACACCTCCGGCGAGGTCTCTTCAATAGTGGGAATTGGGCACATAGAACGAACAAAGACATATACCTGGCATCAATATTGGTCACACCATGATTTTCGACTATGAAAATAGAAATCTCTCGCCATTTTGTATAATAAATCTCAAAAGCTCGAACACAGGTCAGACGTCTCAGCCCTCTCGCTTTCATAAAATCAAATAATCACACCAATCCAACACAAAGATCGTAAACATTGCATCAAGATGTCTGCTCGTTACGCGAGTGAAGCTGTCAGTCTAGAGCCACTGGCTCAAGCGTTGGCTTTTGCCTTTTCCAACGAGCGTGGACCAGGCAACGATGACCCCCGCATGGACTGGTTCCTGCAGTCTGTGGGCATTGCAACCTCAGGGCAAGAGATGGAAGGGGAGCAGACTCACATAAGTGGTAGCCTAAATCCCTCTGACATGACCAGTGAGAGTGTAGCGCACGGAGCTTGAAATAGCAGCGAAGCAGAAATCCATTACGATGGGACGCGCGCTTTGCTTATGGGCACGCGAAGCAGAACTCGAGGCTTGGCTTCACAATAATGAGTTTATGCCATGAATGCTACCAGGAGTTGATTATATGTTTGTTATGGCATGCATACAAGAATAACAGCTGACTGATTTAGGACAGCCCCTTAGTAATTTGTAAATCCCTCTTGATTATACGGTGAGGTAGTGGGCGACAGGAGTGTGTGTGCAAGTAGGTAAAAGTCCAGGGATCGTGTACCTAAGCTGAGCCAAGAGAATGCCAGCGAGATTGAATAGAGCTTTAATTGCTGATCAGACTTTACTTGATGAGCCGAATCGCCTGCGTCGTCTCCTGAGTCGTTTAGAGCCTTTCTCAGTAACTATAAAACCGCGATTTTCTTCCTCGTTGCGAAGCCTTTCGAGCAAAAGACCTTTCCAGCTTTGCCCCTCTTTTTGATCCATGAGCACATGTCTGAGTTCGCTTTGTCTAACGGGCAAGGGAATACGAGTCTTCAGGAAGTCGCGCAGAGCAAGATAGTCCTGGCGCCTCCGGCTTGCGAACTTGGCCAGGTGTTTCTCAAGACGAAGCAAATGGAGTCGGCGCTCATCCTCTTCCCTAGAGTTCGGAGTTAATCAGCTATCCTTCTCAAATTCCGTAATGGGGTGCGTGTTGTATCCATGGGGAAGGCACCTCTAATATATTGCACCCCCTCATGGATACAACACCCAGTGTCCCAAGCACTTACAGCTCAAGTGTGCCATATGCATCTGGTAGTCTCATCAGACCGTGGAGGTCCCGGATAGAATGCGCTTTCGCAAACACCAACCAGGATTGAAATCGAGGATGTGTCAAAATCCGCGCCACAGAGTTGAACTCGCCAGCAAGTTCTTCGTTTGGAATGGCTCTGTGTAAATTTATGTGGCAGGGAAGGCAAAGTTCCAGCAACTCGTTCATCTCTTTAATAGTGAATCGGTCGCGATCACGTTGACTTCTCGGAATGACATGGTGTCTTTGGACTTTGTGAGACTCCCGCTCACAGAGGTCACAAAACCCCCGTACGTTATGGCCTTCATCCAGATGTGAAACAAGTCCTCTCAGCCAGTAGAGCCAATCCCGGATATAGTTCACTTCATGATGGTGTTCAACTGTCTCCGTAGACAGTTCTTTTAGGATATCATCAAAATCCCGCAAGGCTTCCTTGGCTAGATTAGTAGGGCGACTTTGTTTCATTGCCTGGAAATTAGCATATTTCTCCCTGAGACGTTCTTCGGGGCCAGGTCCTCCTTCGCGAATTAGTTCTTTTATACGGCGTTCTAGCGTGCGAAACTCTGCAGCGCGACGTTCATCTGCCCGACGTGCTTTTTTGTGAGCGCGACGTTCTTCTTCGCGGAGTACTTCCACACGCCTTTCTGCACTGCGAAGTTTTTTGATGCGACGCTCCTCTGTGCGTAATTCTTGCTCTTTTATGTGGCGTTCCTCTGCGTGACGTTCTCTTCCCCGGCGTTCTTCTGAATACCGGTCTATTGCGCTACGCTCTCTCATATACTCTTTTATGTGACGTTGTTCTGTGAGACGTTGGTCTGCGGAAACGATGTCTGAATGACATCTTCGCCCTTCCTTGATGGTAGCATGCTCTTGCTCATTGATGTCCCGAGGCACCGGTTCCACAGGCTCCTGGAGCAGGACGTATAGCGCTTGCTGTCTGGACATTATCGTCATATCCTCTTGAACTGCTGGCTGGTGTTGGTCTGGATGTCGTTGCGTTGATGAGTCTCTGGACTCTGCTTCCCCGGGGCTGAGCCCGGGTGTATTCCTAGTCGGGACCCTCCTCTTACGCCTCTGGTGCGAGAGTCTATCGATGAGGGCGGCGGCCTCTGCCTGGGTGATAAATCCGGGTCCTGCGCGGGGGGAGAGAGCTGGGATATCTTCGGCTTTTGAGGCATTGGGTTCGTGGGGCCTCGAAGGCAGAGGTAGAATATCCTCATAAAGGTCTGGTGTTGGTTCGGGGTATACATTAGTACCGTATGTAGCGTCCCACTCAGAAGAAACGTAAGCGGATGATGAAGCGGTATCGTCAGCGGTGCTACGGGATGGCGCCGGAGCATCTGCTTCCTCTTCGCTGCCTGTCATCATGGTGATCTCAGGATCGCTCCTCTCGATATCTTCGAAAAAGTTTCCCCAGCTCCCAGTTCCCGATCTTGCAGCGCTCCTGGGCCCGCTGCTCCGAGATCTGGTTCTAGGAACCGCTCTGGTCCTTTCTTTCCCCCGTTTGCTGGTTGATATAGACGCCGCGTTCTGTCCATGTTGTGGATTTGACAAGACAGGTTGTTCTATCAAAACCTCGGGTGGCACCTCTTTTGCCCCCACCTCTTCTGAATTGTCGCCAACATTCTTTGACAGAGAAGTCTCCAGACCCAGCTCCAGGTTTCCCTCAACGACAGGATCGACGTTCGACCAATGTCCATCGCACGCGACCAGCCCCCCGTCGACAACGTGCCCAGAAGCTGGCGCACCCTGCTCCTGATGAAACCCGCCCCATTTCCCAGCCCTCGCCTGCGCAGTAAGCGAGTTGCGCTTCCACCGCGGCGCCGGTGCGCCAGCCCTCGGTCTCGACAGCAACTTCGGCTTGGGTGGCGGGTTCGGGTTCGGTGCGGGGCCTTGGACCTGTAACGCGTGAAAGGCGCCCCATTGCGCCGACGCCGGTGGTGAGGGGTTCCGTTTCGCGCTCTTGGCTTTTCCCGTTGACGATGGCGCTGTTGTCGCTTTTGATGATGATGATAATGATGATGATGATGTCGAGCCAGAAGCGTGCCCTTTCACTCCTGTTGGCGCGGGGCCCTTCTTGACGACCTTTGGGATTGGCCGGGCTTTGGCGATCTTGCTACCAAAGGAGCCCCAGGTTGACGGAGCCGTTGGCCTTTCCGGTGGTTGAAGAGATACCGCTTGAGACTCAGAAGCTCCAGCTTGGTTGACTCCTCCCTTGCTGTGCTCGACAATGACGGGGCCACTGCCAGGCAGCGTCAAGCGGGAGTGGTGCATGCCGTCTTCTGATGGACGAGGCGCCTCTGCACCACACAGGGAGCAGGAGCACGTGAAAAACCGGGCATACGTGCCATGATTTGATTGAATCTGGTGAGAATGTCAGTAACTGTTCCACTTTTACGTGCTTGAAGTTCCTCAATGGCTCAATATCAAACCAGCATACCTGTTCGACGCGTGCTAGGCTTCGTGACGTGATGGATCGGGCCACCGTTGACAAGATGTGCATCTTTACCGGATTGGCAGCGTTTCACAATGGAAAATGGCCGGCTGCATGCATTGAGAGACAGAGAAAATGAATGAGTCTCGGCGAAGTATCATGGCCGCCACGTGAGGTGTACAAGGATTTGGCTTGCTGAACGGTGTTCAATTGGTATTTCCTTATTCGCATGTCGTCGGTAAATCGTTGTTACAGTCAGTGGTCGTATTGCGCACGGTGTTGTACTGTGTTTGCCCTCAGGCATGAAGTTTTGCTCCTAGCCCCGACAACTTCGAATGACTGTATGGCCTCTATGAAGTTGGCAAGATCATGGACTACGATTTGGCTCAAGTCATTCCGACAAGTCTCATCCTACAGCATGGTTCTCATGGCTCTACTTGTCACCCGCTAGCCGCTGTACAAAGTGTAATCTTGAATTAAACAATCCAACAACGCGGGACACCCCGTCATCAAAGAGAAGTCGGCAACTTCTCAGGTGAACCAATGGTATTATACATCTGAAACTTTCTTGGGTGCCTTTCCATTTACAACGTCATCATCAAACTCCATCCTAATCCCATTCCCAAATGCCATCCCTTGCCTAACTGAGGACAACTACTACCGGTGAGGCAAAGTCCACTCGCGCTTGCGCTTGACACCCGCAACACGTCCAATGCGATCCTAGTACACGGGCGTATTGTCCGCGTCGGCCAGCCACAAGGTTGCCAAGTCTCTTGACAGGCCCAAGCGAAGTATACGAAGCACGTCGTCGGCCGACGCACCAGCCGTGAGTCCCGATCTCCAATCCCAGCCGCGCTTCGTTTTGGCGAGAGAAGAACCACTGCCGCTGCCACCGCTGATGGACCGGTGAAGCTGGCTGGCTAACATGGAGCTTCCGCTGAGCATGTAGCTTCCACTAAGCGAGCTGGTGCTCTTGCGCATCAAGTCTGCAGGCGTTGAGCCCTTCATGCCCGGCGTCGAGGCCAGAACAAGCTTGAAGAACTCGTCTGCTGCATTGAAGATAGTGGAGTTGACTGTTTGGATATCCTCAACGGCCTTGAGGAGCGTGTCCATCTGGTCGAGCGTGATGACCGAAGGGTTTTGGTTGACAAAGGGTAAAGCCTCGCCCAACAGAGCGAGGATGAAGTCCTCACTGACAACTGCGTCGCGGGTTTCGTCGTAAAGGCCTCCCCGAATGTTGTCATCTGAGCTAGCGATGACTGCAACAAGGGCGGAGGCGGCTTGCTTCCGGAGACTGGCAGACTTGTAAGGTGACATATCAGCAAGTCCATCAGTGTCACGAAGCTCGTAGAATTTCCGGAGCGTGGCGTAACCACTCAACATCCGCCCGAGGAGATTCGCTGCCTCGAGATCTTGTTTGGCATACTTTTCGAGCGTTTGACTGCGCTCGTTCAGAAGTCGGTAGAGGTGGTCGTCCAGATCGTTGGCTGGGGGATAGACCGTGGAGTGGAGCAAAGAGTACGACATAAGGAGGTTGAGCACCTCGCGGACCTTTCCGGGTCTATGAGCCAGAGCGTAGTACCAAAGAGCCTCTCCGTATCTGTGGGAGTCTTTGCCGAGAATATCTGCGTAGGTCTAGAAACGGTTAGCTTGGTGATAAGCACAGTTCGATGCGATCTGCACGTACCTCTGCGGTCTCTTCGGCATAGGAAATCATGCCGAGATCGTTCAGAATTCTCCAGACCTTATCCACAGTGGCTCCTTGTTCAGAATCAAGCTGGTCTAGGATATCCCGAAGCAATTCTCCGACCATATCCTCTGACTTCGCAGCCGAATCCATGCGACCAAGGACCTGTATCGCCATCTCCCAACCGCTGCGATCTTCCGAAAGACTCTCGATCCCGGCAAGTTCGCGCGCGTAATGTGTAAGCGTAGTGTCTTTGATGCCCTCCACATCATCGGCGGTCTGAGGAGCCACTCCCAACATCTCCAGATCCTCCATGTCCAGACTCTCCATCGTGATCAAGTTAGGCTGCTCGGGCTTAGGTAGCCACTGACCAAGCGAGGCAAGTTCTGCCACTGAAGAAGCAATGGGAAGCGACCATGCTCGAAGGATTCCGATGACAGCCGCGAAGTTTGACTCGAAAGCCGAAGCAATGGCAACTTCAACAGGGTTCATAGAGTTGAAGTGGAAGTCAGACTCAACCGCCGTGTGGAAAGCCAGCGACAGGCGTTCGAAATAGGTCTCCGGGGTAGAAGGCGTAGCTGTCATGCGGAGGCCGTGAGAGCGAGACATGCGCAGGCTCTTCTGCTGTCCTCTGCCTTCCTCCCACCATCCAAAGAGACCAATCGTGGCTTCACACCAGTCCTGCGCTGTATCCAGGATAGCCTCTGGTGTTCCCATGATAATCTGATAAATGGTCTGGAGATGTTCGTAGATGTCCCATGGAACCTGGCCTTCCGCTTTCCGCACAAGACCGGCCAAGGAGCCTCTTCCGTACGAGCTGTCGTCACTATCGCCAGCGAAGAGGTTCTTGTCCTTACCCTCCGCAAATCGCTGAAGCTTGTCCAAGGAGCCCTTCGTCTGGATGCGGTACAGCGTCCAATCGCTGCTGAAGATATCCCAGTTGCCCTTGGTGATTGGGCACATGTCGAGTGCCTCGCACGCAATGCCGACAGCACGTTGTAGGTTATCGAGAGCTTTGCCGGAGTAAGCGAAATCGGCCCTGGGTCCCTTCTTGACGGACTCCCACCCAGCATTCCTCAATAGCTTTGATGCAAGATCGACATTGCCACGGATGAGAGCGCTGCGAAGTGTCGGCCAGAAGAGACTATGGCAAGCTGGACTCGGCCTGTGATTCATGACAATCTCGAACTGCTCGGGGTAGATGTTGTGGTTTTCCTCGATCCATCGGAACAGAACGTAAGGCAGTGGCGGCGCTTCGGTATCGACAGTGCCTTGGTTAGCGAAACGAGTGTGGTGCATCTGAAGCACCAACTGGGCAACGTAGGCAGCCTTCGTGAACGGCTCACTTTCGGGACCGGGACCAATCTCGGCAATGTGCTCTCCCTCTGGCATAGGTAAACTGTCGGCAAAGTCATTCCAGAGGTCCACCAGAGGGTAAACAATATTGGCGAGCGAGACGTCTAGCTGATCGGGGTCCTCCTGCGCACCAATTCCTTCGTTGTAAAGCTGGTTGATCAAGTCTTCCGTCTTCAAGACAACGCCTGACGACTCGTTGATCTGAGCCATGCCCAGTTCCTTGTATAGATCCTTTGCGATTGCGGAGAACTTGAATTCTGTCCGTCTGTTGCCCGACGAGCGACGCATGGACGACGCACGGAAAATATCCTGAGCCTCCCTGCGCATTCGCTCCGTTGCCGCTGGCGTATTGAGCAGTAAAAGATCCGACTCCTCGCCGCCTATGCCGCCTTCGCCCTCGTCTGAGTAGGCCAGTTCATCGTCGTTACGGGCGCTGTGCCGCAAGTTCAAAAATATGTCGTCGTCATCCTGGACCTCTTCGTCGTCGGCCTCAGCGTCTCCGTCTTCCTCTCCAATATCGGCTTCGAGGTATCGCTCCATCTCCGCGTCGGCGGCATCGCGTTCGTCGTACTCCTCATCGTCCTCGTCTTCTTCCTCTTCCTCCGAGCTGTCGGGTATCATATACCTGCCAGTCCGGTTATCGTAGGTGACCTCGCTCTTTCCCGCGCCAAGTTCCCGGCTTAGTGCCGACGGCTGTCTCGTCGTAGGTTTGGCGCTCTGCAGAATCGACCGGCCAAGTGGTTGCGCTGAAGCAGAGTCGCTTCTGCCAAAGAGGTTCTTGCTGGGCCCATTTGAACTTACACCGCCGAAGCCAAAGGGCTTCTGCGCAGTGACTCCCTGCAACAAGGAGCTTCCGAGGTAGGACTCGGAGGGAGCACCTTGGGGTGTGAAGGAAGCAGCGGACGAGGGTGGAGGACCGGCTGGCGTGGTTGACGGGTTTTCGCCGAAGGGATAGTATGACTTCTTCTGTGGAGTCTGACCGGGCGTCGACGGCGGTGAGCTATCGAAGGTTGAGTCGTCGAAGGAGAATTTGTTAGGCATGATGTCGGTGATGGAGTGGGCGACCTCAGGTCACCCGGATGAGGCTAGTCGTCGCAAAGTTGTGTTGACCGGCGGGAGCGAAATTTCTAGGTGTTCGGCACTGCAGAAATTTGATGCGTCGCTGTCGTTTGATGTGCGAAAGTCGTCGAGGCTAATTGGGCTGACTGGCAGGTCGCAGGCGACAAGGCTGAAGAGCTGAGTTGTGGTGTTTGGCAGGACGCGCTTTTGCTCGATAATTTTTGGAGGTTCGCGATGCTTGGCCAGTCAACGCGGAAGAAGCCGACGTCTTGGCCCCACCACCGAGTCGCTCTGTGTTTTTAGGAGTGGCCCGAGCTCCCTGACCTAGTGCCGCTGACACACCTAACGGGGCTTCAAGATGTATGTACGTAGTATGTACTTTGTACCTTTGAAAAGAACCAAGATCCTGTTAAAGCTTCCCGGCGTTCAAACTTCTGAAGCAGTAACCAAACACGATTCCTTCGTCACCTTGTTGGAGAATAATTCTTTAAGGTTCAGACGTCTCCTCCACAGCCATGCGACTGTGATGCCATTGTGATGTCTCTTTTTCCGGGGTAAACACATACCATTGAAGCCACGTTGTTTCCCCTCTTTTGGCTGTCAACCTGGTCTTCCATCTCTTCCCATACTTTCTTTCCAATGGATCTTTTGATTATCTTTTACCTGAGAGGATTGTTCATCCATTCTTTTTGACTTGTATCTCTCTTCGTCGAGTCCCTGTCCGCGGGCAACTAGGAAGTGTTTTTTTTACCTTATCTAAGCCGTCCCGGAGCTCCCCTCGTCTTCCTCCGTGTTACGGCGTTCTAGCCCGGCATGCCGATTAGATAGGGTAGAGCTGCCAAAGGGAGTAAAGAAACTGCTTGAAACCTCCGGGCCCGGACATAAATCGGGCTCTGGACGTGCGGGCCCTAAGAAAAGCGCTGTACTCCTCAAGGCCATCTTGGCAACCACGGAAAGTCATCCCTCAGAAGGCGGGCGGGCAGGCTTGGCCAGATTCAATCGCCGATAGACTATGCCTGCAAAAGGGTGCATTAATAGCATCTCAAAAGCCTAACCCCGACGGCTTAAAGTTTTGGTGTATTGCGTCTTCAGACAACGATAGGCTGCAAGCCCGAAAGCGCGCCGGAAGAGAGGAGGAGGGGGAAACGTCTCAAAAAGGGCGGTCTTTTTCTTTGGTGAGGTGGAAGCGCTTGGAAGACCCAGATACGCAGCCTGCCCCCGCCACCCCCGGCTAGGTGCCCGTGCAAGCCGTGATTCGGCCTTCGTTCTCGGGAAGGGAACCAGTTACTGCGATTTCTGGATCTTGGTGTCCGTCGGAAAGGCATCCGTTGGTCTCGACTTCTTCTATCTGACTGTCACCGTACCGTGTACCTACCTAATCACAGGCAGCCAATTGGGACAACAGGAGAGGGACTTGCCAGTAGAGTTCCAGCCAACCAAATAACAGAATTCATCCCCAGAACCTCAATCGATCCAATGACGTACTCGTGTATTGCTGCTTGGGAATGCCCTTCCATCCGCCTCACCCAAGACTCGTACAAGTCACGGCTGGCGTCAGTAGTGTTTTATCCTCTACTTACCTGAGTACCTAGTCAATGACAAGCTGAACGCCTCCGCTTTTTCCAATTCGCGGTCGAGTAAAGGAAGAAGTGCACTCCAGTCTCCAGATAGAGATACGCACACAGAGGAAGAGAGGTACCTAACTCAAGTCTCAGTCCCCGAACCCCCGAGACTCACGGATACTTTCCCCTCCCGAGGGGAAGGTGGGGTTTGGAGATGGTGCCAAAAGACACCCGGCGGCAGTTCTCTCCCCCTCTGCCAGTGCCCAACCTGCATCTTGGACTTCCAGCTGCCAGCTCCTCCTTCCGACCTCGTTGGAATAAATACTCGTACCCTGCCCGGTTATAAGCTAAGCTTAGTGTGCCGATTTCCTCCTTCCATCAAGGTTCTCATCGACCATCATCACACAACATGTCTGCCACTGCAGGAAAGGTATGCCCAGTTCCCACTCCAAGCACTTTACATTACATCTGTATTCCCTGCTCTGCGATTTTCTCCCATCCATTGCGGGGTAGCTCGACGACCACGGAGACGACTGAGACGCGAGCCATCTTGACAACCCGAACCCATCCGCTGACCCAATTGATCATCTACAGACCATTACTTGCAAGGCCGCCGTCGCCTGGGAGGCCGGCCAGCCCTTGAGCATCGAGGATATCGAAGTTGCCCCGCCCAAGGCCCACGAGGTCCGTATCGAAATCTACCACACCGGTGTCTGCCACACAGGTACATTACAACCCCCGCCTGAGGTCTCGGATGAAGATCCGAAGACTGTTTACTACAACACCAGAAACTTCAGGACTGACACACTTTCCTCGGGACAGATGCCTACACTCTCTCCGGCAAGGACCCCGAGGGAGCCTTCCCCATCGTCCTCGGCCATGAGGGCGCCGGTATCGTCGAGTCCGTCGGCGAGGGCGTCACAAACGTGAAGGTCGGCGACCACGTCGTCGCCCTCTACACACCAGAGTGCCAGGAGTGCAAGTTCTGCAAGTCAGGCAAGACCAACCTGTGCGGCAAGATCCGCGCCACCCAGGGCAAGGGTGTCATGCCCGACGGCACCTCGCGCTTCAAGTGCAAGGGCAAGGACCTGCTTCACTTCATGGGCACCTCCACCTTCTCTCAGTTCACCGTCGTTGCCGACATCTCAGTCGTTGCCGTCCAGCAGGATGCTCCCATGGACCGCACTTGCTTGTTGGGCTGCGGTATCACCACCGGATACGGTGCTGCCAGAATTACCGCCAACGTCCAGGAGGGCGACAACGTTGCCGTCTTCGGTGCCGGCTGCGTCGGTCTCTCCGTCGTTCAGGGTGCCGTCGTGAACAAGGCTGGAAAGATTATTGTCGTCGACGTTAACCCCAACAAGGAGGAGTGGTCGAGAAAGTTCGGCGCGACGGATTTCGTCAACCCCACCAAGCTCGGAGACCAGTCTGTGGTCGACAAGCTCATTGAGCTTACCGACGGCGGCTGCGATTTCACCTTCGACTGCACTGGTAACGTCAGCGTCATGCGTGCTGCTCTCGAGGCTTGCCACAAGGGATGGGGACAGAGCATCATCATCGGTGTCGCTGCTGCTGGTCAGGAGATTGCCACCCGTCGTAAGTACCCCTCGCACAACCTTGTTGTAGTACGGCATCAGAAACTAACCACTTTCTCAAACAGCGTTCCAGCTCGTCACCGGTCGTGTCTGGAAGGGTTGCGCGTTCGGCGGTGTCAAGGGCCGCTCTCAGCTGCCCGGTCTCGTGCAGGACTATATCAAGGGCGACCTGAAGGTGGACGAGTTCATCACCCACAGGAAGACCTTGGGCGAGATGAACAACGCCTTTGAGACCATGAAGCAAGGCGACTGCATCAGAGCCGTGGTCGACATGCGCAAGTAAGCTTAACACAATATACCACGGGCTTCTGGTTGCGCGACCGTCTCGGTGCGTCTTCTGAAATACAAAAAATACTGATAGTTTAATACAAAAAAAAAGTGAAATCGATATCCCAGTACCGCCTCGCGAATCCAAACTGTGAAGCCAGGTGGGCGGGCTTGTGATGATGGTTTGGTCCTGGGTCGTCGGCGACGAGGTGGAACCGTTCAGCCTGTCCGTACGCGCAATGTCGCGATATATGTCGATAGCAAAATGCTCACACCATGTCGTCAAGATTCCATGTCCTTATTCACCAGTGATCTTTTGTGACCTTAGTTCGTGTATTTTCCTCAGGTGGTCTTCCATTGGGATTCTAGACCATCCGCTTGTACAATTCCGGGGACCCGCGGCGGTGATATCCGGCGGCGCGCGGCCCCCATAGTAGACAGTCCCAAAAGTCCGGGCCTGTGCCGCCCCCTACTCACCCTGCATGTTCCGGGGCGGGCACATATTCCTTCCACCTCTGTGTTAGTACGGAATAGATCTGGGTCTACCTCGACTGCTAGGTGGAATCAGCACTAGCTACCAAAATCGTAGGAATCCTGTAATTATCGGATGAGGAGGAGGATGGCCGGTTGATTGACGAATGATCCAGCAGGGTTGATTCATCATCTGGCAGGTTCTGTTAGCAAAAGACCTAAGGGAGAGCATGCTAGATGCACGCTGTCCGCCACGGAAGCTTATCTCGCCGCTTTTGAGAGAAGATTCAGGTATCCTGGATGCTTCTTCGGAGCAGTTTCAAGCCAAATTACTCCGTACAGCAGCTCTTTCTCCCGTCTCTTTCGTCCTGTCACCATGGGGTGGTGGACCAATGATAGTGAACAACAAGTTTGTGAGAATGGGGTGCGGTATACCCGTCTAACACCATTGGATCGCAATACATGTACGAATACGTCTTTGTCTCAATGACTATCTCGCGGATCGGACTGAGACATCTGTTCTCTATCATGAGTATGAGGCCTCTTGCTACCGTCCAGCTTGCGGTCGTACTACATCCTAACCATCAATTACACTTTATCTGAAAGGGCCGCATTATTCATTGCCCGGCCGTCTTTGAGCGAGATTGTCCGATGTCCGCGCCACATGTCTCGGAGATGTGCGGACACTGCTGAGGCTTCTATTTGACAATTTGACTGCAGGCCTAGCTAGACTGTTGTAAAGCCGCGGTGACGATACACCTGCTCATTTCTCATCAACCGGTGGCATGCCTGCTGTCTACTGTTTTCTTCCTCGGGCTGCTTCTTTGGGGATGAGACGGATGTCAAGCCACAGACCCCAAATAGTTATATTGGTTGAGGAGGAGTGGGACTGGGGAATCGGACGATTTTTTGGCAGAGCGAGCCGGGGGTGGTAAATAGAATGAACCGTGGGGAATCGCACGGGAAACAACATCAAAACCGTCCGGTTCACCGTTTGGCTCGTAATTTTAGGAAATAGTCGTGACTGGGGGAGGCCGAGGACAGTAGGGGTTCCCCCCCATTGTAAATCAAGATCCGAGTGCATTGATGGCTAATTTTGATGGGCAATCAAGGCTAGACTAGCAATCTCGACGTCCGGCGTAGCATCGACTAACACTGTTGGGGGACAACCCAGAAGGCAAGTTAGAGAGGGAAGCATGTCCCCGTAGAAGGTATTAGGAGGCGGTGTAAATAAACACAGGACTGCTCCATAAATGAGGATTCCCTCAATCGGATGTTGAGCAAAGGATTGTGTAACTCACATTTTTGACACATGTCTAAAGGCACCCGGCGTTTCACTTCTGAGGGTTTTGCGGAATGCGAGAAATGACACCGAGGGCGGTTAAGCCAGAGATTTTGAGTTGACTTTTGCCAACGCACATGTGCTCTCCATTGCCATCCGAACCGTAGGATTCAAGATCCAGCGATTGCTCCAGCGATCCATCAGCGGGCGGGCCTCAAATGGTTGGGTGCGGGCCTGCTGGCTCGAAATGCAAGGCGGTCTCGGACCCTCGACAACTCTGCGAAGTAGGCGGTTATTACTCGATGATGCGAGGTTGGCTGGTCTCGTGAACAGGCGAGGCCACCTCAGGATGCGATTCCCCCTCAGGGATGATAAGATAAGACGAGCCAGACATGGGGTAGGTAAGTCAACAACCGGATCGCAAGGATCGTCTTGTCGGGGCATTCGTATCCTTTGATTCATCCCCTCTTCGAGAACAACACCGGACACGAGATAATGACCGTGGATATCCCGTGTTCGGTATGCGGGTACGACGAACGAGGACGGACAACGTTGAGCCGCGTTTGTCGACGGGCAGGCAGTTTGTCCCAGATATACACCTTTCCCGTGATATCTCGGCCAGCTCGCTGCATCGAAGATAGTCCTCCTGGAGGACATGCTAAAAGCCAATGGCGCCGCTCCCAAGCGCCTGGATGCAGTGGCTGCAGGAAGCCAGCTCCAATACGGGAGGAGGTCGGGTTGCACGGCGCTAGGCTAGGCGGCACTGCTTGGGGTGACCTGTAGCTAACCATTCGGTGCCGCATCTGCTATTGTAGGGCACCTTTCCCTTCCACCTGTCAGAACTCAACTTGTGGCTGTGGAATATCAGGCTAGCCAAAGACAAGGTGCGATTCGGCATGCAGAGATATGTTGTTGTGACTTGATGGACAGCCAGCCGAGCATCTCCGGAGCCGAGCTATGGCGACAAAGGACAAAGTCTTTGCTCCGTCTGAGTTGACCGCACCGCTCGGCCTAACCGTGTAGACTTCTCACTTGCTGTTCCACTACTTCTCAACTGATGATGGCCGTTGCAGGTCCACGCGGGGATCTCGGAAAGTTGATGTTGCGGGATAAGCTAAGGTCACAGCACTGGCATCTTTTGGGTTCGGAACCGAAGAAAGCCCCCCAGAAGGTCATTGCGTGCGGTGCGGAAGCCCCGAGACGCTTGGGGACGGTCCTCTTGGGAGAAAGTAAAGACGAGGTTATTCCTTGCAACTATCCAGAGCAATGACTTCGGGCCGGTAAGGGACGATAGGATGCTTGTCCTTTGATTAAGATAACTTTGCCATGGCTCATCTTGAATCTACCAGCGCCTCGTTTGCACCTCATTCATCAAAGTTGAACCAGTGTTGGAGCGCATGGGACGGCTGCGTGGTGCAGGTTCAAACGAATTTCCAGCGGCCGAGGCGAGCTTCACTGGCTTGACGGAGTATCGAAGTAGCATCGAGGAAACTGTCTACTGCTAATCTATTAGCTTCAATCTATTAGCTTCGGAACGTTGCGGCAGTTATTCGGTACCTCATGCGGGGGATGCCGTTGGCGAGAGCGAACAAGGGCCAGCGACAATGATGGCTTGTGACAGGCAACTGCGATGCGATTGGAAGGCAGTACCAAGTCAGTCGCCCTCCCATCTCTCACCAGCCATCTCGGTCCTTGGTTACGAACTGGTGCAGAGGGAACTAGGATGCCTCCTGCAACTCGGGCTCCAGCACAAGCCATGATCCATGAGGCCATGCTGCCACTAGCGACTGTTGCCATGCCGTGACATGCACTGCCATGTACTGCACGAGAAACAGAGCGAACGACCTGAGCTTGTCTGCCATTGACAATTGCTCGAGATGAGGAGGATTGGCCTGCTTGGTTCGGACAGGTTGAAAGTTGGATTAGGCTGCTGAGTTTGGCGGCACATGGCTTCGGTACCCGTCCATCGGCAATCCTTGGACAGCCCGAGGAAATGGCGGGAGGGGTGAAGTCGGCGATGTATCGGTAGATGGAAGGTCGGTGACCGGCCCCGATGCAACGGCGAGAAGTGTATCTTGGAGGTTGAAGTACATACCATATGTGGGCATTAGAAGTGCGGAGAGGAAACTGGAGTTGATGATTGAGACAAGGCAAGATCAGGTACCTACGCACCTTAGGAAAGTAGGCAGGTAGGTACCTTTGGCAATTGTGATTTTGACGGCAGTTGCGCGGATGGGAGTTTCATTTTGGTTCTTCGGAAACTTCTCAGCTCCTTCCTTCCTTTTCTTCCTGCGACGATCCTACTCAGTTGACTTGTTTATTCGTCAGGTGCAATTCACCATTCATCTTCCACAAGTAATTTGTCCAATGCAGTGTGGAAGGCAAGGTAGTTGAGCAACATCCTTCTTGACTCGCTCGGAGCATCTGCTGTACTGTAGTGCGTGAGTACCTGAGGTAAATAGTCAGGTAGGTAGTCTAACATGAAGGTAGGCCGATCTACATCTCGACTTCTGCACCGTTCAACTTAGGTACGGAGTATTCACATCTGCCTTCACCGCGTTGCATCTACCTGACTCAGTTCCAGGAATTTTTTCGAATCACACCCTCCTGCGGTCTGCTTTGCGTCGTTGGCAAGCCCGCATGGATCGAATCCCGTCGTCTTGCTGCCACTAGCATTCAGAAAGTCACCTCATTTCCTCCATCACCAAACCACCGCTGACGTATATCACATTGCGCATCCTTGCCTTGAGGATCGAGGCACTCACAGCACTACCTTACGGATACGCTGCCGGTATTCGGATACCTTGCGCAATTTCAGCACCCTCGTTCCTATTCAGTCTCACCAGTGAACCCTCGTCAGCCACCGCCCCATGTTACTTTCGTCTCCAACGCCATCATCCATGGCATTGGCAGCACTGATCGATAATCTCGACAAGCCATCTTAGGCTGTTCCGGGGCTGATCCGTCTGGAGTGATCCATTGACTCGGGACAAGCAGCCACCGGAGCCATGACTTATACGAATGCCCGACGGAACGAGAGACACACGAGAGGCGCGAGGCCCAGTCCGATCCAGTACAATCCAGTCTACACAATAATTAATCATCCCGACGTACATTCACCGCTTTCGGAGCCTCACAAACCGTCAACCAGTGTCATCGGCATTGTCCTGGCGCCCATTTGACACAAATCAGCACTGCCAATTACAGTTTTGGAGTGCCAGGACCAGCGCCAGCGTCATTACAGTACCGGTTCCCGAGCCATC